TAACTATTTATAATGCTCCCTAAATAATAAAAAAATAAATTACAGTGAAAGCAATGAAGATTATGTAGGTTTTGAACCAAACTAAATAATAGTAAACGTTTTTTTATCTATGGTATTGTCTTATTTTGATGTTTTGAGCTCTTTTGTGTTTAGAACAATATATACTAATTTTTAAAGTATCAAATTGAATGTTTGTTCAATAAAAATCTTTCAAATGCGACTGTAGCTTCCCCCCCTATGGTATTGTCTTATTTTGATGTTTTGAGCTCTTTTGTGTTTAGAACAATATATACTAATTTTTAAAGTATCAAATTGAATGTTTGTTCAATAAAAATCTTTCAAATGCGACTGTAGCTTCCCCCCCCAAAAACTTTGTCTTTAAAATAAGGGTGCGTCTTATATTCCAAAAAATATGGTATGTCTAACTATTCTAACAAAGCAATAAATCCCCCAGTGAGAGTTTGGGATAAATAAACTATCAAATTACATCATGAAATGGCAGCTCACTTTGTTCCTCCAAGAAATATCACAAGAACTATTTTTATTTAATTTTTTCATTTAAGTTTTCTTACCTAACAAGTTTCTAATTTTCTTTTATTTTAATTCCTTTTGTCAAAACTATATAAACACAAGAAATTCAGCACTAATTATAGACTTGAGGCATTTTGGAATCGGGTGCATGATTTAATAAGCTTATTTTTTTCTCATTATGTTGGTTGTATGAAAATAAATCATGTAGCTTTCAAATATGCACCTTAGAACAATATATCAGGTACTAGAATAGAATGTCCCAAAACTAAGGTACAAATAGGTTAAAGAAATTTCATTATCTCGAGCAACGTCTTTAGCCTAAGTACATTGAGCTGTCTTTACGAACTATTGGCTTTGACCACTCACACAAAATGATCATCTGACTTATGTAGTTTACGATATTCTCTTTCTATTGGTTATATAACCATTAAGAATAAAAAACGGAAACTACATTTTTTGGCACAATGAGAGATAAAATAATTATTAGGTAGTTCAGTTATCGTCATCTAAGCTAGTGAGTACAGTGTTAGCTTAGCCTATATTTGGATTAATATATGTCAAGCTAACATTGTAGTCACTAGTTCTGATGATAGTAACTGTGTTACCAATGTTATCAAAATCAGTCAGCTGAAATATTTAATACAAATTTTATCTTTCACTGTGTCAAAAAATGCCATTTTTCTTTTTTACTTTTACTGTAGTAGTACAATATACTTCAAACGAAATTATGGTTATAAGCATGTCCAATAGCAATGTCAAAGAGAATTATAGACGTTTCTTAAAAGAAAGAGGATTTATGAAGGATGTATCAAGTGGGTTGAACAAATAGTGATATCTCAGTAAAGCGATGAGGTTGAAATTTTATGTTGTGGTTTGTCAATACCTATAGTATGTGTTTCTAGTTGGTTAAATAATTTGAAGCACTTATAAGAGAAGAGAAAAAACGTATAATTGAAAAGTTAGAGCACTATCATATTATGCAACTCAGACATAAAGAACGAGAATTTTTCAAAATTTTTCTTAAAAGTTAGATAACACTCAAATTTGAATTATAACCTATGTTTTAATACAAAGTTTATTGACATGCACTGATAAGAAAGTAGTTAAATTAAACTTTGAATGTAACTATGTAAAAAAAAGTTGTGAAACGGTTCCTTTGACCTCAAATAACCATAAGGTTAAATGATTAATTTTCTTTGGCCTTACCTCCAAAATATTGACCTTTGTTCAACTTTGATAATTCTTTTTCTTCTCCAGACTGAGAAACAAAAAAATAATAACTCATAAGAAATATTTAATATTCCCAGGTTCTAGTGTATAAACCAGAAATATAAATGCTATTTATGTAAGAGTCACATATTATATAAATTGAATAAATAAAAAATCAAATATAAAATTACAATTATATGCAGTATTGGAAATAAATATGGAAACAGAGGACAAAGTGGTAAATAATCCAAATTTTATGTACTAGTTATACACAATCATAAGCACAATACATTTTGACAAACAAATAGGTTAAGAAAATTAATATGTTATGCAGATGATTAATATATAGTATGTGAGCCTGTTTTTTATACATTCTCCCATATAGTTAAATAATGAAAGACTGTGGAATGTTATTCCAAATATCTCGTAACATTTTCCATAATCCATTAAAGTTGCTTGGTTGATGAATAGCATTATCAGCATCTCCGTAACTCCATGTGGTCACAATATTGTTGCGAGTGCTCCATTATCTTCTTTACATTCCAAATAAGTTTTCACTGCACAAGCTGTATGCTTGGGGTCATTTTTGTGTTGAAATATGAAACCCTGCTCAATGAGATGTGTTTCTGAGGGAATGGCATGGTGGGTCAGAACTTACCTGTATCTATTGGCAGTTAGGGTATCTTCAATTTTATATAAATCCCCAACACCCTTAGCTGGGATAGAGCCCCAAAAGTGTATTGAGCCACCTCATGCTTAACTACAGCTGTTTTACAATGACTGTTATACCACTGTCCAGTTTTCCTTTGAACATACTGCTGTTGATTATTGCTAAACAGCTCAAACTTGGACTCATCTGTAAAGAGCACTATTTCTCCAGGTTTGAACATCCCACTGTTTTATTTCTATTGTTCATTTCAGCTTTTTGTTTTATTCTTTTTTCTTAGCAAAGGGTTCCAAGCAGCTACATGGCCAATGAAACCATTTTGAGATAATATGTATCTTACTGATCTTGAAGAAAAACTAACAACTATGCTTGGAGCAAGGTCGTTATTGAATCGTCACCTATCACACAGATAATTTACTCTGAGGAGCTTTACATCACTTTTAGATAGCTTGAGTTTTCTTATTTGACCACTTCTATTGGCAATATTACTACTTTCATGAACCTGTTCAGGGTTTTGCATACAGCACTAGGTGAAATGTGAATTCTGACTATAATCTGTTGATAAGTGTAGCTTTCTTTAGCTAAAACTTTCATTTCTATATGCTTATCATGCGTAATTTCTTTCTCAGAAGCTACTGTTTTTACCACAAATTTCAAACTCTAAAATCATATCATTGCCTATACTTTTACAGGCCTTGTGTTGGTTTTGCACTTTCAGATTGATTGTCAGATACCCAGTCACATTGTGCCATGTCAACACAATACTGCATTAGGCAAAATCTAATTTATACACAAAAGATATTATTCTATCGTGTGCAATATATACCCACTTTTCCTTCTGTTTCCATGTTATTTCCAATGCTGTAATTATTTTAAATTTTCTGTAAGATGTTCATGTTCACTGATAATTAAATAAATCACAATAAACAATTAAATGTTTAATATCACAGAGATAGTTAGAATTGCAAATAAAATAATTTCTAACCAAATTGAATCAATAAATTTTGTATATGCTAGTAGGTATAAATTACCAAAATAAAGTAGGCTAATATTTGTGGTAATAAAACAAGTATATTTAGTTTAATCTTAATATACTTATAAATAAATAAAGACTATTATTCCATCTTACAAATAAAAGTTTTAAAATAATTTATCAATATTTATGTTCACATGAACTAATTTCAACATAAAAATAATTTTTAAAAAAAATACTTGTTAGAACATAAAAAACTTCAATAAAAGATATATGATTTTATGCTCATCTCTGCTTCAATAGCTGACTTTTTAAACCGAATCCATACTAGGAAATCACAAGAAGTCATCTTCTGGGTTGTGTGAGGGACCACAGTTCATACTTAAAACTAAAGGTACATCATCATTAGAGTTATATACCAAATAATAATGGTTTTACCTCATTAACCATAACTATTCGGACAGTCCCTTTCTCCACAAAGTACATCCCATCACCTACTTCACCCTAAGTAAACATTCAAATCAAATTATGTTTAAAAATTCCAAGAAAAAGCCAGTCCATATCCAAAGGAGTGGAAATCTATACATATGTAATACCTTTTTTTATAATCATAAGAACACAAAATGATATATATACATTCAATATCTATTTGGTTACTTTAAGCATTTGTTCTGTAATTTAATTGTTGATTTATTTAGTTTTTTAACAAAGTTATCAATAATGTTTTTCAGAAAAGTTGTAGTGTCATTTTCATTGTCCCTAGTGGGACAATGGTAAGTCTCTAGAATTACAAGTGAAACTAACACTTCACTTTCCTAAGCTTTATTTTCTTGTAGTCACCCAACAAATAAAGAAACAGGAAAAAAAAAACTTTTCCTCTAGGTTTCTATGATAAAAATCAATTTTAAGAAACTAATAATGTTTTTTTCCACTTGAGATGATAGAACTCACAACAGCATCATAATATCTCAAAAGTTAAGTTAGCCAATTTTTTACATGTATGCAATAGAAAATTTTAATGGATATAAGCAGAGGTAAGGTGTTAGTCGTGTGCATTTAACTGGAGTTATAGTGGTAAGTCTTAACAAAGAAAGCTAAATACCAACCTGTTTGATTATAATTTCTCCATTCTTATAGCTTTTTGGCATCAAAGCATCACACAAGTTCATTCTCTCAAATAGCTGGGGAAATAAAAATAACAAGAACACTAAAATTGCAATTCCTACATCTTTATATGCATAGCAGGTCATAGTAATACCCTCCACCCCCCTCAACAAAGGTAAACTAAACAAGTAATACAGCAAACCTTTCTTTATTACTAAGGCGTAACTGCATGTTCACTGAACCACTTTAACATTATCATCATCATCAAAGAATTTATGTGATACTTATTTATTTTTTAGAAAGTTATCCAATTTGAAATATTCTGAAAATTCTTTTTTTTGGGGGAGGGGAATCTATGGTCTATGCTTTGTACATTTATCGAACAATTGGCAAAAGATAATCCAGCTTTGTTATAATATGGCAAAGACAAAGAAAACCAGCGTTAGAAAATAAAGTCGGTAACCAACCATCAGTTTATTGTTATGCAATCTGATGATTAGTCATGTGAGATGAAATGACTGGTAATTAACCTATGCTAGGTATTAGTACATATATGTGTATATTAGAACTTTGAAGTAAAGCACAGGTTAATGTGCTCCATATTGTTAAAGAATCATGTCTAGACCTTAAAGAAGAAAGCTGGATGATTTACTCATTTATAGAGATCCACTGGATAAATGGAATATTTTAATTACAACACACTATTAGAAATTAAGTACAATAACCCCAAATGCCATAACAGGGTTTGAAACCACATCCAAACCAATGGTGCATTTACTCAGGCATCTAAACAACACAATAAGATGACTGCTATTTATCAATTCTGGCTCATTACGATTATAGAGTAATTACTCTGAACCTGAATCAGGAATTAAATTGGATTCTGTGCCAATGTACAGACTGTTGGCAACTGATTTCACAAGGCTGACCTGGTGCTAAGAACACAACCAGTGGACAAACAACAAGGGGAAGAACATTTTTATTTTTTAGTTTAACTGTACTTTAACTTACAATGAAATAATAAGTGTACATTCATTTGTTGAGAATTTTGAAAATCATCACCCCATTTTCACACAGGAAAACGAACATTACGGTTGTGGTAGTATGATATGGCTAATAATAAGCAATGGTGAAAGATGGCCTGCCTATAGAATAGTACCACTGATGGCACTTCTCATAAGGACCACATCCTATGACCTTTTGTGCTGCCATTTCATGGTGCAATTAGGTGATAATGACTGACCCAACCATGTTCAACTAGTCGGCACTTCTTTGAAGAGGGAGTTGATTGAATGAAGAGTTCTACTCATCAGGATTGAATACCATCTAGATTATTTCATAACAGTGCCTTTTCATGTCTAAGTTGCGATAAATTGTAATTATCCTTCTATTATTTATGAATAGTACATTTATAGATTTACCAGTTTCTTTGGTTTGGGTGATTTTACTTTACACATTTTACAAGCTTAAATAGCATATTTATGTTTCAGTAACCTGAATATAATTAGATGCTTTCACTTTACTTGTTGCAGAGCCCAAAATGTAAGTAATTGTACATGCATTAAAGACCTAAATTTAAGGTATTTTACATGTATCACAGAGTAATTTAATTACTCTTAATTTTATTTACCTAAAATAATTACATTTTAAAGACCTTTACATAAGTTGCAGTGATTATTTTGGGATGAAATTTAAGTAATTTCCTCTCAACTCTGCTCAAAATTTATTTAATTTGATAAGGTAGCTTACAACATATAAAGCAACTGATTTTTGTACTATGAATGGTTCAAGAAAAAATTAATTAATTCAAAAAAAGGTCAGATATATATAAATTATAATGAGAAATAAGTACACTAAATTACTAATGTAAATATTTCTATTCTATCATCACTTTGTTAAATTACTTACAAAAACCCCATACATTTGAATTTTTGAAAAGAAAATTGATTATAAAAAATGTTTTATCTAGCCATATTACAAGTGAGTGCTAAAATAACAGAAAACTTTTTCAAGTTTGTCTTGAAGAAATTATTAAGATTAAATTATTTTTTTAATAGTTTTGTTTTGAGTTTACTTACTGATTAAGTATTTTATTACAAGTTACGGCTTTTACAGCTAGAAAGATTTGTTTTTAGAACATGTATGACGTTTAGATCACTGGCACAATCATTCTCAAATACATAAGTTTTAACGGTAAAACTTGTGTACTTGAGAATGATTGCACCAGTGATCGAAATGTTGTACCTGTTCGAAAAACAAATTTTTCTAGCTGTTAAAGCTCTTAACACTCTGTAAAACATTTCAACAAACAAGTCTTCACACTTTCTATGGTGAAGTTAGCATTATTTTTATGGCAACTGAATATTACAGAATATTACAATATTCCATTACATAAATTTATATATTGTTATGACAGCGGAAGTCATGTGACGCTGGTAACACGTAATGA